GAGGGCCTTTTGGGTGGTCCCTTTTTTTTTCCAGCGAAACCCCGTTTTGGGTTCTTCTCGTTCTGGTGCCGGTGGAAAGCGGTGATATTGGCTGGTTTGTGGGTCAAGAGGCGGGATGGGGCTCTGATGGTGTGTCGGAGTTGAGGGATCGATCCGCCCCCTTGTTTCGGCTAGTGGTGTTAGTCGGAGGGGTTCTTGGTGTCTCTTAGCTCGGCTAGTGGTGTTAGGCGTGCTTGGGGGTGCTAGAGTGGGGTCAGTTCGGATGTCCCTCTGGTTGAGGTAGGTTGATTTGTAGTTTGGTCTGTGTTCGGGCTCGACTTTTTGTATAGGCCTTGTGGCAGTTTCGGAAGCCGTCTGGATTTGGACTGATCTTGGATGTTGACTGTTCTCCGCTGGTCCGGGCCGTCTGATTTGTCGTGGAAGGGCTTTCTTTCTTTCTTAGATGGTGTTTCGTTTCCGTGTCTTTTTCTGTAGTAAATTGTATTTTGTTTTGGGCTCTTTGTCTGTGTGTTCTTTGTTAAGGTCGTTGGCCCCTGTGAACCCGAGTGTCACCTTATTATCCTGTTGGGATCCGACACTCGGCTATTACCCTGTTGGGGTCTTTTTAGTTGATTTAGTTTTAGTTTGCGTTTGGTAGTCGTGTAGCTCGTTAGTTTAGTTGCGAGTATTTATTATTCTACCGTTGCTAGTCGGGATTCTAGGCGGTCTTCTGATCTGTCCTCCCACTTTTTTCAGTTGTTGGCTGTTGTGTATTCAGGCGTTGGCTGTTGTGTATTTTGATTTATAATACTATCTATCAAAGTCACAGACCCGTTGTCGCGCTCTAGCGATAATGGTGTTCAGTGAAATAGATAAGAATAAATCAAAGTCACAGACCCGATATGGTGCTCATGAAGGGATGGTTAAGGTCATTCGCGCTTTTATATAACGGACCTGGGAGGTTAGAGTTCAACATGTCCATCGAGAAGCGAACTTCGCTGCTGACAATTTGGCGAGCTTGGCGGCCTCATATCTGCCTGGCCTGCATCGAGCTTTGTCACTGTCTATAGGGCTAGGAGATTGGCTGGAGCATGGTAATATTGGAGTGTCTTATCGACGACAAGTTCTAGTATAGACCTTTAGCCTCCTTCTTTGTACCAAATATATATATATATATATATATGTATATATATATATAGAATAAACTAAAATTATATCTACTTTAATGATAATGTTGGTAATTTTTAATAGTGGAACCCACAAACGCACCAACTCCGCCACAACCCCCCTGGGTCAAACTCACTTCTCTCCTCATCTCACCAATCTCTCTCTCTTTCTGAGTCCCACACAAACGCGCGCACACACACACACACAAATGTATAGAGATAACAATGCCATATTTCTATGGAGTTTTAAGATCCTTTCATTCTTCTGATCAATAAAGTGTTCTCTTGAAATCTGCCAAAATCAGTTTTGATACACAAAATAAATACAAACACTATCAACATCAAAACCAATTACTCATAGTACCAATATGCATAAACATTTTCACCCAAATTCACATCATTTTCCATCTCTTCTACTGCTAATGTAGAACTCAATGTCAAAAGTTGCTCTTGAAATTGAGTAGAAAACTAAATACATATATATCTCAAGACTACATTAAGCTACATAATTTTGTCACGTATAAATTTTTCATTACTTACACGGAGGAAGCAGTTTCCCACACAAACCGGCATTCCCCTCGAAAGCCGAGGCCGGAATAACCACCTTATGAGCCGGTATTTTCCCGCTCAAACGATTGTACGAGACGTTAAAACTCTCGAGGTACTCGAGATTCAAAACCTCCTTAGGAATCCCGCCACTCAATCCGTTCCCCGATAAAAGAATAGCCTTGAGCGCGCTTGCGTTCCCGAGCGATTTCGGTATTCCACCGACGAGCCCGTTTTTCTCCATCTCGACCCTCGTCAAATACCTCAACTTCCCGAGCGATTTCGGTATTTTCCCGCCCAAAGGGTTGTGGGACAAATCAAAGTCTCGATTTCTTCCATGACGGGCTTTTCCCCGACGTCTTCGTCGATGGGCCCACGAAACATGTTGTGAGAAAGGTCGATCGAAGAGTAATGCCCGCGCGGGAAATCGGAGGCTTTCACGAAAAACGTGTTTAAATTGCCGGAGAGGTTGTTCGAGTGGAGATCGAGGTCGGTTAGGAGGACGAGGTTCTTGAATTCGACTGGAATAGAGGAGTTGAAATGATTGTTGGACAAATTTAGAAGGGAGAGGTTTGTCGTGTTACCAATCCATGAAGGTAGTTTCCCTTTTAGGGAATTACTCGACAAATCAAGAGTCGAAAGGGAAGAAGACGAAGACAGCCAGTTGGGCAGTTCCCCCTCGAGCCCTGTGCTCGCGAGCAGCAGTCGAAAAAGGCTTAAGCTTTTAAGCCAATCGGGCAATTTTTCGGGCCTTAAAGGATTGAAAGACAGGTCAAGATCTTGTAGCGACTTTAATTTCAAGAACTCAACTGGGATTGGGCCTGAAAGTTGGTTTCTTGATAAATCCAGGCTCTGTAAATTCTTCAGATTCTCCATACTCGGAGGAATTTTTCCTGTGAAGTGATTGTTAGAGAAGTAAATGCTTTCTAGTGTAATGAGATGGCCTAGTGTTTCAGGCAGATTTCCACTTAGCTGATTGTTTTCGAAAACCAAGCTTTTGAGCCCTGTCAGGTTCTCGATCGACGGCGGTATCTGCCCTGTCAGATTATTTTCTGAAAAACGGAGAAACTGGAGTGATATGAGCCGGCCGATGCACTCCGACATTTTTTCAGTGAATCCGTTGTCGTTGAGGTACAAAACCTCGAGCAAATAAAGTCCGCCGATGGACTCCGGGATTTTTCCGGTCAACTGGTTGCCGGAAAAATCCGCGTACGTCAGATTCCTGAGCCCGCGGATTGCTTCGGCCACGTCTCCCGAGAAGTTGTTCCCATGGAGGTCGAGGCTGGCGAGCGAGGCCAATTTCCCGACCGACGGAGGTATCGTGCCGGACAATGCATTCGACGAGAGGCCCAAATCCGTAAGCGAGGTCATGCCGATGAAAAGGTCGGATGGGATGGGCCCCGAGAGGCGGTTATCATCAAGAAACAATTTATTCAAACGGGCCAGGTTTCGGAAAGTGGCGGGAATCGGGCCCGTGAGGCTGTTGGTGTTGAGGAACATTTGGGTCAGGTGGGCCAGGCGGCCGAGTTCGGTTGGGATGGGCCCACTTAGGTATTTGAGGTTGCTGAGGTCGAGGAGTCGGAGGAAAGTGAGGTTGCCGAGGAAGGGGGAGAGTTTTCCGGACATGGAAGTGTCGACGGGCGAGTCGTCGTCCGAGAAGAGGCCCGGGCGGGTGAGGTTAATGGCCCGGCCCGTTATGGGGTCGCACGAAACTCCTTCCCATTGGGTGCAGCAGTCAGTGTGTGGGGCCCACGTATGGAGGAGGTGTGACGGGTCGTTGGTTATCGTTTTCTTGAACTCGAGGAGGGCTCGTTTGTCGGTCGGGTGGCACGACGACCCGGGTTTTACTACGGGGAAGGAAAGGAGTATGATGAGTTGGAGAGTGAGGAGGGGAAGTGATTTTGATGTGGAATGATTCTCCATTGAAGGATTCTTTGTGGATTCTGAAGAGTTTCGTGGCCTATTTAAACTTTTGAAAAATTAAAAACATAACCGTTTTTATTTTAAAAAGTAACCATTTTTCTTATTATGATGTTTTTACTTTCCGGAATTTACTGATGTTATGTTTGAACTTTGAAGAGATTTTATCTTAGCGAAAATATTTTTTTTTTCTTACTTTAAAAAGACTTAATAATAAAGAAAAAGAAGAAGAAAATAGCGACTTTGAAGGAATGTTCACTGTCAGTTAATTAGGCAAAAATAACGGTGACTTTGAAAATACTTTTCCAAAAAAGAAAATTGAGTATGGGTGGAAATATTAATAGAACGAAATAAGTCAAATGTAAGATTTTGTACCTCTAAATTTTTAATAATATTGTATCCCGTCATAAATATTTACCACAATCGTATATTAATATATACATATTATGTTTCTAAAATTCAAAATATATATATATATATATATAATGACGAGTTAGATCAATGCCCGAGTCAATCATGTTACTTGGTCAGTTCGGCTCGACTGTGTCTTTAACTGGATGGTCCCATTTGCAGGTCAACTATGTCCAAATCGGGCCAAGTCAAGAAAACACTGGGGAAGGGTTTCATTTAAATGTGTAATATGGGCAAAAAAGTTCAATTTTGCATGTGGCATGTGTCATGTGATAGGATCATAATTACATATGAAGTGTGAATTAATTCAAAATAGGGGATGATAAAGTTGCTCTTATATATCTTTTTTAGTTGGCCATAATTGAAGATGAGCTAAGGCAAGCTTTGTTTGGACGTTTCTCTGTGATTACAATTTCATCATTTTTGCTAATTCGAATTAATTAAATTCTCATGATAATCCACCTTGACCCATTGTTGCAAAGAATCTTCTTCCACTATAAAAGATTTGTCTTGTAAGTAGAAATAGTGATAAAGTCAAAAATGTGCATGGTTTATATATTTAATTGTGTATTCTTATACATTTATTTAATTCGCACGTTTATATTTTTCGACCTTTTTATTATTTGGATGGATTAATTTGCTTTGATGTTTTATGTGTTATTTTTAGTATTTCGGAGCAATTTGTGTATCCAGAGCATTAGACGAAAATTCACGTGAGCCATTGTCGTGCGGCCCAATACACGAGAATGAAGGGCACATATGGATTAATGTGGCTACCCGAGTTGTTTAGTGATTAAAGGCCCTACTCAACTAACAAAAGAGGCAATTGGACAAGAAATTAATTTCTAATAAATTGGGCCAATCAACAATCTGTAGCCCAATTTGAATTTGGAGTTCATGTTATGGTTAGAGAGACGTGAGCAAGATGGATTTTTATATGGAAAAGGAAAAGGTTGAATAGGATTTATTTGCCCAAAGGAGAATTATTAGCAGGCATTATTTACGTGAAAGAAAAGCCGTAAGCTTCAGGGGCGAGAGCGGGACAGAAGAAAAGAAAGCCGACTGCGGGATCATACACGGGAGAAAAGGCGACGAGGCTACACATGTGGAGGGAAGCCGCACCTGCACACGAGGGAGATTTATTTATTCTCTCTTTTATCTAGTTTTTATTTATTTTTTTTAGTATGCTAGGCTAGATTTTTATCCGGTTTGAGGAGATGTTTGAACCCTAACTTCGATTTGTCTATGAATTGGAGGATCTTTATTTATCGTTGATTAATCTAGACGACATATTTATTTTGTTGATGAGTTGATTCATGTTATTTGTGTTTAGTGTTTACGAATATAGTGTTTGATTTAGTTTGGCCATCTACGTTGAATATCCATGATTTAATTGCTAGATTCGAGTCTTTAATCTGTAATTGTTATTGTTCTCGTTTCGTTAGTAATAAACTAGGGGTCGTGCATCCTTAGGGTAACATGAGCATAAGTTAAATGGTCCGAGCTTACGCGTCCATTGGTTAGACTGATCTATTTTCCTAGAGATTAATGCTGCTAGTGTACTAAATCTAGAGAGTTTATTCTAGGTTGTCCACTGGTTAGGTTTAGTCGAAGAGCCTATTTCGATTAAATATTCAGTAAGGGAAAATTCGGTTAACAGAGCTTGTTGTTAGCTAGGGTCGATAATTTATTAGCAATTTAAAGAAGGCGTTGAAATTGATTAATGGTAAATTTAGATTGGGTGATAACTGAACCGAAAACTGGACTTCTCTTATTTTATTTGATTTTATTTTATTATTTTTATTTTTAGTTTTATAAATCCAAACCCCC